GTGTGTGTGTGTGTGTGAATGTATGTGCATTCTTGTGTAAGTGTATGGGTGCGTGTATGTGCGCGTGAGTGAGAGAGAGAGAGAGAGGGAGTGAGAGAAAGACAGCCAGACAGACAAGCAAACAGACAGACAGACAGACAGACAGACAGACAGATAGACAGACAGACAGACAGATAGACAGAGAGACAGACAGAAATAGAGACAGACATCGAGACAGACCCGTTGCCTTATTGCTTCACTGATTCTTTCTTTTTCTTTTGTTTACACCTCGAGGAGACCGTCGCCCTGTCCACAGCAGTATATTATTATTATACTTCTGTGAGACAACTCGTGCATCTCTTGCTTACCTGGACACCTGAACGAGTCATTTCTGGCTCAGATGTTGACCCACCATTGCTTACGATCGCGAGCTGCCGCCACAAACTCTGTCCTACCTAGGCCAGTCCATGCCTTGATGTCATCGGTCCACGTTGTTTTCTTTTTTTTCCAACCCTTTGCTCTTTTGCCACATATCTTGGCTTCGAGTATTTCTTTCATAATGGTCTAGTCATCTCTTCCTTACAACACCCATCATAACATAATCTTGTTTAGTCTCCCTCTTTTCCTCTCATCATTCTCTTGGTCCTCCCTGTATCCCTCTTTTATACCCAAGATTTCTAACCATATTTGTAAGAAGCATAACATTTAAACGAATGAATAGATTCGTCTCAGAATACAGTTGCATAAATAAACCAAACAAGCAAACAAACAGACTTCTTGATGTCTGTGAGGTTTCGAGGACGCTGTCTGCTATGAAGTGTAACGTCGGGATTTCCTCGTGTCCCAACATTTTCAGGTGGTTCTGGAGTACGACACTGTGTCACACTCCTAAATAGAGGTATAAAACGGCATCTCTTCGTGTCCAGGTGGGCTGGTAGTTCTCTTTTTTCTCGCAAGTCTCTTCCACAAAATTAATATTGCAAATCTAAATGGCTGTATTTTTCCAGAAAGGAGCTTTGAGACGACCAAACTACCCGTGCACATCACACAAATGTAAGATGTCAAGAACGAGGCCACATTAAACCTAAAGAAAAGTAACGGAGAATGGTGTACAGAAACGTGAGAAGACATAAAGTAATATCAAGAGACAAACCCATGATAGGAAAAGGTTGGGATTTTTTGTTCGTGGTCTGTACCCTGACGCAGGGTGAGAAAGGCAATGATAATGCTGATAATGGTGTCACAGATACAGTACTCACATGAAGGGTGGGTGGGGCACGGGTAGTCTAAGGTGAGTGACCGCCCGCTCGGGTGGAAGCTGGGTGGACAGTGGAAGCAGAACATCTTGCCTTATTGACTGCTCACCTGCCTCTTTTCTCGTGCGGGAGTTGCGTGTGTCTGAGGTTAAAAAAAAATTATAGGTTGCATTTGAGCGATGAAAAATGAAGACTAAAATGCAGGCAATACCAGTTACGAGTATATCAAGGAAAAAATCAGCATGAGTTAGAATTAAGATAAATTTGAGCAACAGACCTGAATAATGTTAGCCAGGTTTTTGTTTTAGATGTACTAAGCTCAAATTTATCTGTTTTAATTGCAGTTTCTTAATCTGTTGTACTAGTTGCATTAGTTGCATTTGCTTGAGAAATACTTTGCAGAAACTCAAATTCTAAATTCTAATTTTGAAAAAGTAAGAATAGGTTCATAGTATAGGTACAATATTTTTAAAAAATGAAACCGTTCTTTATTTTCTCTTTCCTAAAAATGTTGATTCCTGAGCCCAGAAGAGTTGAACAATTCGCTGACAATTGACAGATTCAGCAGATTGTAATGAAACCATGTACATGTATTCAAATGGCTGAATGTAGAAAGGAATATTAGTGGGTCAATCGATCAATCAATAAGTGATCACATTATGATGTACATGTGCTGGGGAAGGGGATACATTTGACTTTGGATGAGTGGGATGATAATGATGTTAGGAATGACGATAATGAGGAAGATAATAATGATAATGATAATAGGACAGGAAAAGATAACACAGTGATAATCTATGCACATATTTGCACACATAAACACGCCTGTTCACATGTATTTACACAACATATGAACACAATACAGAACTGTAAAAGAAGTAATACAAAGTAACTGCAGTTGGTTTCTCATGAGCGAGTCAACTGCAACAACATGGACATCATTGATAACAGAGACTACAACAAAACATATCAACAAAATGTAAAGAAAGAGAAAAGAAAAGCAGTATTTAATATTTCACAGAGAACAGTGACCAGTGGCACAAATTCTTCAAAGGATCCTGGATACTAGGAACAAAAGAGAGTCGGGAGGACAGGTTCAAAAAAGAACAAGAAGTGGGAAAGTGCAAGGTACTTTAAAGTTAAAGGGCACCAACATCATACGCTCTGTAATGGGGGTAGGGTTGGGGTGGGGAGGTAGAGGGTTGGGGGGGA